CTGCGATTCTGTCGCGGAGCAGCGCCTGGCTCCGTGGCACCGGAGGACGGCTCTGTCGCTGGCCTGGGTGAAGCAGGTCGAGGCGGATGACCGCCGAGGTCGCTGGCCGCGTGCTCGTCTGCGCAGCGAGAGACCGGGAACTGGCGGGTTTTGAGCCAGAACAGAGAAACTCGGGTTCGTCACTTTTTAAAACGATTTATTTGAGGCCGGCGCCGCGGCTCGCTAGGCTAATCCTCCGCCTAGCGGCGCCGGCACACCGGGTTCTAGTCCCAGTCAGGGTGCCGGATTCTGTCCCGGTTGCCCCTCTTCCCAGGCCAGCTCTCTGCTGTGGCCAGGGAGTGCAGTGGAGGATGGCCCAGGTGCTTGGCCCTGCCCCCCCAAGGGGACCCCGGGAGAAAGACCCCTGGCCTCCCTCCCTTTTGGATCCGCCGCGGGGGCCGCCGGCCCATTGGAGGGTGAACCCACCCGGCAAAAGGAAGGCCTTTAGACCTTCTCTCTGTCTCTCTTTCTCACTGTCCACTCTGCCTAGACCAGTTTGCATTCCCTCCAAACAGTGGGTGGGCAGACTTAAAAACAGGCGGAGTTACAGTGGGGCGGGGCGGGGCGGAGGGAGAGCGGTGGGTCTTCTGTCTCCTAGGTCACTCCCTAAATGGTTACAGCGGGCTGGGCCTGGCCGAGGGACCCTGGAGCTCCATCCGAGTCTCCCATGTGAGTGGCAGGGACTTGGGCCTCACCTGCAGCTCCCCCAGGCTGGACGGAAGCGGACCAGCAGCCACGTGGGATTCTGGCCTTGCAGGCCGTGGCCTAAGCCGGCGGGGCCCCGGGTTGTGACTTTGTTGAGTCCAGTCTTTATATCTCTGGACCCTGTTTCCTCACGTGCAGAAATGAGGATTAGGATAGGACCGCCTCCCGTCGTGAGGATTAAATGAAAATATTCGTGTGCGTTTTTTCAGAAAAGAATACGCGTTTATTTGAAAGGCAGAGTGACAGAGATCTTCGATTCCATTCGGACGCTGGGTCACCGCCAGGCCCGGCGAGGCGGGGGGCAGGAATCCGTCCTGCTCTCCTACCTGGGTGGCGGGAACGAGTGCTCGGGCCGTCTTCTGCTTCTCGGTGCATTGGGGAACTGGGTCCGAGGCTGCGTAGCCCGGAATGGAACTGGTGCGGCGTCCCAGTCAGCGGCTTGGCCAGCTGTGCCGCAATGGCCGACTGTCAAGATTCGATGTAGTCTGAGTGTTAATTGTCGAATCAGCAACAGGAGTCACTGTGCACTAACTCCGGTGCAGGACCTCTGTCCTCAGTGAGCTGTGTTACAAGAGTTAACTGTACGACTTCTTCTCTGTGTGTGTGCAAACTGTTGAAATCTTTACTTGGTATAGAGTTGGTCTTCTGTGTACAAAGGTAATTGACAATGAATCTTAATGGAGAACGGGGCTGGGATGGGAGAGGGAGGAGGAGGCGCAGGAGGGCTGAAGTTGTCCTTATGAAGTTTGTGTTCCTTAAATAAAAGGTTTCTTTGGGGAAAAAAGAAAGATTGTATGTCAAAGACGGAGAGAAAGGGAGAGAGAGAGATTCCATCTGCTGGTTCACCCCTAAGTGCCTACAACTGCTGGGGCTGAGTCAGGGGGTAGCTGGGAGCCAGGACCTCCGTCTGAGTCTCCCGTGGGGGGCGGGGCCCAAGCCTGGGCCATCATCCGGTTCCCCCCAGGATGCAGTAGCAGGAAGCTGGTGGCTGGGAACTGTGCTGGCACCCGGATGTGGGATGCAGTTTTCCCACGCTGTACCACAGTGCCTGCCCCAGTGTCAGGTTTTAGTTCAGGGCCTGCATGTTGTAAGTTCTTCTCAAGTCCTGGCTATCATTTCTGATCATTAAAAAATAAATTCCTTAGGGGCCAGGGCTGTGGCATAGCTCGTGAAGCTGCCAGCTGTGGTGCCCGCATCCCATATGGGCAGCGGTTCAAGTCCCGGCTGCTCCACTTCCAATCCAGCTCCCTGCTGGTGCGCCTGGGAAAGCAGCCGAGGATGGCTTCCATCACTGGGCCCCGGCACCCATGTGGGAGACCCAGATGAAGCGCCTGGCTTCGGCCTGGCCCAGCCCTGGCTGTTACGGCCATTTGGGGAGTGAACCAGTGGATGGAAGATATCTTTTTTTTCCTTCTCTTTTATTGATGTTTTTAAAGATTTATTTGAAAGGCAGAGTTACAGAGAGGCAGAGGCAGAGAGAGAGAGGTCTTCCATCCGCTGGTTCACTCCCCAGATGGCTGCAACGGCCGGAGCACGTAGTAGAGAAGGCACTCTCGTCATTGCGCTCCGCGGGGGATGGGCGCACTCACCCGTGTGCTTCAGAGATGGCTGGCTGTTGAGTTGCAGTGTTTACGTAAGACAGGCTGCTCACACGGCTGTAGGAACGCATGCGAATCGTCAGGCTGCCTGCATTAGGGTCAAGCATGTGTTAACTGGGAAAACCCTATGAGGAGTTTTGGATTAGTGAGACAGGTTAGATCTGGGACTCCCAGTAGCTGCCGAAGCAAGCCTTCGTCAGCCCACGGCTCTGTCCTCAGGAGCAGGTTCGGAGCGCCTGTTCCGTCCCTGGTTCTGTGCAGGGCGTGCGGGACAGGCAGACTGCAGTGCAGCAGAGATCAGTGAACACACACAGAACACCTGTAATTCAAGTAGAAGGCGATGCTGTCGCGAGGGAGGTCCAGGCACCCACCCGTGCTAGGAAGACGCAGAGGCCACTGCTGAGTCAGCTGTTCTGGGGGGGGCGGGGACCGCGACGTGCCAGGAAGCGGGGTGCAGAGCCTCGAGATGCAAGGGGAGGTGCCGGCAGCGCCGAGGGGGCGGTGAGTTCCGAGAAGGCAGGGGCTAGGTTTCGGTCAGCGCGTCCTCGCCCACCTGGGACGTGGTTGGCACACAGCAGGGCTGTGGCCCCTGCGGCCCACATGCAGCCACTCTCCCAGGGCAAGAGTGGGGACGGGCAAGGAGGATCTTCAGAATGTGCCCCACGACGGCTCCTTCCGCAGCCCTGGACGTGGGAGCGTGCGGCGTCCCGGGGCTGGTGAGGGGCAGTCCTCTGGCTCTTCTGTCCTTTCTTGGCTCCCCTTTTTCCCCTGGGTCTCTCCTCCCCAGGGACATTTGTCCCCGATCTGTGACCCAGCTCGGGGTGGGAAGCCGTGTCCACCGTGCCAGCCCACGGCCTAGGACTTCACCCACAGCCAAAGGACGAAGGTGGCGTCCTCCCTCAGTGCCATCTTCAGGCCGACTCCGGGGTCCTGTCCAGGGCGAGCCTGTGCCAGCAGGCCCTCAGGCCGGGGCTGGAGCTGTGGAAGGCACAGGCCGGGTGACTGAGAGTGGCTTGAGGACGGGGCAGCTCCTTCCCTGAATAGTTCCGCTCGGCAAGGTCTGGACGCCCTGGCGTCTCCCTGCTCAGCGGGTGCCGTCCCCTCAGACGTGGAGGCTGGGAGGGCTGAGTGAGGACGCCCGGGGCGGAGCGAGCACACTCACTGCCTTTCTTGTCCCCAGATGTGGGACGGCGTGGGACTCCCGAGGGCCGCGGGGGCTCCGTGCTCTGGAGGAGCCCGTGAGGTTGAGCTGCGGCACCCCCTCCCACGGCCTGCGTGCCCCCCGCCCGAGGCGCCGCCCCCCACCTGGTCTCGCCTGCCCAGGGGGCCTCCACCCCACTGGCTGTGGTAAGTGCCCGCAGTGTGCGCCGGGACTCCCTTGTGGCTAAGGGCCGTCCAGTGTCCTCCTGACTCCAGGCCTCACCGTGCTGAAGAGGCCCATGCCGGGGACCCACGCCGGGGACCCGCTCCGTGGTGCTCTGCTCTGACGGAGCCCTCCCGCTTGCGTGGGGTCTCATGGCGCTGAGTGACAGCGGAAGGTCTTGCACTGGGACTTTCCCTTTTCCATACGACAGTCGGAGTTCCTAGGTCGGGCCGCTAGTGCGGGCACTGAGGCCTTGTCGCTGAGGGGTGCTGCCTGCCCCTGCCAGGAGTCCTGGTCCAGACGCCGCCTTTCCCCGTCCGCCGGAATTCCCTGCGCCTTCCCCGTCCCGGTGCAGCGGCCGGCACAGCCGCGTTGGATGAGTCTCATCCTCATGCCCGTGTCGGATGCCCACTTGTCCTCCTGGCGGCAGGTCCTGCTGCTCCCAGGCGGGCACCCTGCACACTGGGAGCCGTGGGTGCCTTTTGAGTCTGGCCTGGAGGGTCAGGGATAGGCGAGCTCTGCCCGCGTTGGATGAGGAGGGACACTAGCGAACACGTTCGCCTGCTGGGACTGGCCCGGCCAGCAGTGCCGCCCCCCAGCCCACTGGCTCCTCTGACAACAGTGGGCTCAGGTAGGGGAGCGGGCACGGCAGGGTGCAAGCGCAGGCTAAAGCAGTGTCCTGCCTGTTGAGTGAACTGAAGCCGAGGATGAAGAGGGTGTGGACGTGAGTTCGGGAGGAGGGAATGCCCCCTGCAGCCCGCAGAGGAGCGTCCGCACCTTTGGTCTTCACGCGGCCTCGGGAGGCCTGGGCTGGGCCCGCGTGCCTGGACAGCAGCCACCTGTCTCCAGGCAGAACACCCGGCAGCTCAGCGCTGGCCTTGGAAGACAGACTCCCACCCTCTGGAGGCCTTGGGAGACTTCTCTCCACTCCCTCTGCCGCACTGCCAGCTCGGCTGGCTGCTCCCTCCCGCCCTGTCCCCATTTTGATGGTCCCACCCACCCACATAGTCCTGGGTTAGTGAGTGTCCTCACTCTTCCCCGGAACCCGCTGGGGGAGGGGCCAAGGCTGGGTGCCGTGCGGGAAAGAGAAAGTGGTTTGGAAGCAACAGATAGGTGAGTTGGTGCTCAGTGCTGGCCCTGAGCTGGAAAACGGGTCCCCGCGTGGATACTGCCGAGTAGCCCATGTTGGGGTGCCCTGGGTAAGGCCTGGGTGCTGCCGTGTGGGGACCTGGGTAAGGCCCGGGTGCTGCCGTGTGGGGACCTGGGTAAGGCCCGGGTGCTGCCGTGTGGGGACCTGGGTAAGGCCCGGGTGCTGCCGTGTGGGGACCTGGGTAAGGCCCGGGTGCTGCCGTGTGGGGACCTGGGTAAGGCCCGGGTGCTGCCGTGTGGGGACCTGGGTAAGGCCCGGGTGCTGCCGTGTGGGGACCTGGGTAAGGCCCGGGTGCTGCCGTGTGGGGACCTGGGTAAGGCCCGGGTGCTGCCGTGTGGGGACCTGGGTAAGGCCCGGGTGCTGCCGTGTGGGGACCTGGGTAAGGCCCGGGTGCTGCCGTGTGGGGACCTGGGTAAGGCCCGGGTGCTGACATTGCATTGTGCTCCTGGGCTGATGGTTGACTCTTCCTTCTTGCCAGAGAGAGGCTCAGATGGGAGATGAGGGTGGGACAAGGCGACCAGGACGGATGGGGGGTGCCACCAGAGAAGAACTGATGTCACTGGCAGGGCCTGGTTGACCCTGGGAGTGGGCGGTGTGCAGGAGAGTCTGCTCCGAGGGGGAAGCCGTCCTTGGAGGGAGAATTCTGTCTCCAGCTGGACCTGCTCATGTCTGCAGGACTGGACGGCTTCAGCAAAATGGAGCTCCTTCTTTTTCCTTTTCTTTTAAAAAAAGTTTTATTTTATTTACTTGAAAGGCAGAGTTACAGAGAAAGAGTGAGACACACACACACAGATTTTCCACCTGCTGTTCACTCCCTAAGTGGCTGTAGTAGCCAGGGCTGGGCCAGGCTGAAGCCAGGAGCCAGGAGCTCCATCCAGGTCACCCATGTGGGTGCAGGGGCCCAGGCACTTGGGCCCCCACCTGCTGCTTTCCCAGGCGCGTTAGTGGGGAGCTGGATGGGAAGTGGAGCAGCCGGGACTAACTGGTGCTCACGTGGGAAGCCTGTATCGCAGGCAGCGGCTTACCCGTCTGTGCCACCAGGCCGGCCCCTCTTCTTCCTCCTTGCAGCCCATCTCTCTGGAGCCCTGCACCAGCCGCTCCTGCTGACTCCGTTCCCCTCTCCTCCTGCACCCGGGTGTAGGCTCGCTCTGCTCCTTTGATGACCCAGTCCTGAGGCTCCTTCCCAAGGAGCTGCCTTTTGTCCTCACTCCTTCCTCTTGGCCCGAGCCTCTGCTGCACTCTCCAGTCCTGCAGCAGCCTCCCAGGCGGCTGGGCCCTCCCTGTGACCACAGCGTCAGCGCCCCACCGCGGCCCTGCACGCGTCACTGCACGCCCAGCGCCTGCTGCTCTCCAGGGCTGGCCAACTGCAGGGCAGCCACTCTGTTCTTTTGCTCAGAGCCTTTTCCAATCTGTTTCCAACCTGCCTTTCTGGATTTATGTTCCAGCACATCCCAGTGTGTCCCTTTCGTTCTGATCAAACTAGATGACGGGGCCGGCGCTGTGGTGCAGCCGGTGAAAGCCCTGCCTGCAGCGCCAGCATGTCATGTGGGCGCCGGTTCTGGTCCCGGCTGCTCCTCTCCCCATGCAGCTCCCTGCTGTGGCCTGGGAAGGCAGCAGAGGATGGCCCAAGTGCTTGGGCCCCTGCACCCACGTGGGAGACCTGGAAGAAGCTCCCGGCTCCTGACCTTGGATCAGCTCTGCTCCAATCATTGCAGCCATTTGGGGAGTCAACCAGTGGATGGAAGACCTCTCTCTCTCTCTCTCTCTCTCTGTCTCTACCTCTCTCTGTAATGGTTTTTCAAATAAATAAAAATAAATCTTTTTTTTTTTTGACAGGCAGAGTGGACAGTGAGAGAGAGAGAGAGAGAAAGGTCCTCCTTTGCCATTGGTTCACCCTCCAATGGCCGCGGTGGCTGGCGCACCGTGCTGATCCGAAGGCGGGAGCCAGGTACTTATCCTGGTCTCCCATGGGGTGCAGGGCCCAAGCACTTGGGCCATCCTCCACTGCCTTCCTGGGCCACAGCAGAGAGCTGGCCTGGAAGAGGGGCAACTGGGACAGAATCCGGTGCCCCGACCGGGACTAGAACCCGGTGTGCCAGCGCCGCAAGGTGGAGAATTAGCCTAGTGAGCCACGGCGCCGGCCAATAAAAATAAATCTTAAAAAAGGGGGGCCCTGCACCCCATGGGAGACCAGGAGAAGCACCTGGTTCCTGGCTCCTGCCTTCGGATAGGCGCGGTGTGCCAACCGCAGTGCGCCGGCCGCGGCAGCCATTGGAGGGTGAACCAACGGCAAAGGAAGACCTTTCTCTCTGTCTGTCTCTCTCACTATCCGCTCTGCCTGTCAAAAAAAAAAAAAAAAAAAAAAAGAAAGAAAGAAAGAAAGAAAGAAAACTAGGCGACAGACTGGCCGGTGCAAATGCTTTTCTGCCTCTTCACCTTGGCACCTGTTGAGCTGTCCGTTGGGCGGGGTGGGGGTCTTCTCTAGCGTTCACGTCTCCGTTAACAGAACGCTGTGGCGCACTTTCTTGTTATTTGGAAGAGTTTCAGCCTGCACAGGTGGGGTAAGAATAGCACAGCGAGTGCCCAGTAGCTACCCCCAGAGGCACTGTGGCTGCTGCCGTATTTCCTCCTTTGTCTGAACACTGGGAATAGGTTACAGGCATTCTGACACTTTGGCCCTAACTATATCACTTCAGCCAGACATTTCGACCCATATCTCCTAAAAATAGCATTATCCTTTTATAAAAAGAATTGTAGAAACATACGCATAATAAAATGTACTACTTGAACCATTTTTAAGGTTATAAAAGTAGCATTAATTACGTTCACAGATGTTAATGCAGCCATCACCACTAGCGCTTCCAGAGCTCTCTCATCCTCACAGACAAACTCTTTGCATTAGAAATAACTCTCCGTTTGGTCCTCGCAGCCTCTCTCCTACTCCCTGCCTCCTCAGCCACCTCACAACGGCGGGGAGATTATTGGTCCTCTTGTGGGTGGCGTATTTCACTCGGCATGGCATGTTGGTCTGTGTATCGCAGCCGCATTCGTGTTTCAGGCCGAGTAGCGTCCCCTTGTGTGGAGATTCATCTGTGGATGTGCACCTGCTCTGCCTTGACCTCCGCTGCTGTCAGTAGCGCCGCAGGCAGCACTGCTGTGCAAGCATCTGAGCCCTGCCTTCCGTGCTTTTTATTTTTCTTTTTACTGTATCTTTATTGAAATTTTTTTGACAGGCAGAGTTAGACAGTGAGAGAGAGGGAGACAGAGAGAAAGGCCTTCCTTCCGTTGGTTCACCCCCCAAGTGGCTGCTACGGCCAGCGCTGTGCCGATCCAAAGGCAGGAGCCAGGTGCTTTTCCTGGTCTCCCATGGGGTGCAGGGCCCAAGCACTTGGGCCATCCTCCACTGCACTCCCTGGCCACAGCAGAGAGCTGGCCTGGAAGAGGGGCAACCGGGACAGAATCCGGCGCCCCAACTGGGACTAGAACCCGGTGTGCCAGCGCCGCAGGCAGAGGATTAGCCTAGTGAGCCACGGTGCTGGCCTTTATTGACTTTTTTATTTTAATTAGCTTTTAACGGATTCGAGATAGTTTCTAGACACCATGCTAAGAACATAATGATATTCCTTTCCTCCTCCACTCCCCCCTCCTTTATTTTTCTTAGTTTTTGAGATAACATCTTTTAATGTACTTTGCAGGAAGAAGGCTTAATGCTTTACCAAATAAGTTTAACAATAAAATCAAAAATACCCAATTCAGTGGGCGCTTAGACCACAGCTGTACACAATAATTGAAAGGAAAAATGACCGTTTCAGCCACGTACAGTAAGTTTTACCTGCTTTGCCTTCTTTTAGGTGCATATCTACAGTGGAATTGCTGGATCACATAGTGATTTTTATTATTATTATTATTATTATTATTATTTTAAAGATTTGTTTGAAAAGCAGAGTGGCAAAGAGAGAGAGACATAAACAGAGACGTCTTCCCCCATCAGTTTGCTCTCCTAGTGCCTGCAACAGCCAGGGCTAAGCCAGGCCAAAGCCAGGAGCCAGGAACCGCCACGTGGGTAATAGGAACCCAAGCAGTTGGGCCGTCATCTTCCGCCTCCCGGGCGCGTTAGCAGGAAGCTGGGATCAGAAGCAGAGCAGCCCTGACTTGAACCGCACTCCTGTGTGGGATGCGGGTCTCCCGGCCGCAGCCTAGGCTGCTGCGCCACAGTGCCTGCCCCAATATGGTGATTGTGTGTTTGACCTTCTGAGGAGCTGCCAAACTGTTTTCCATAGTGACCAAGAAATAATGATGCAGTATTACCAGCTAGACTACAGACTGTAATTACATTTCTCTAAATATCCCTACATTTTCCATTACAGCTTTTTGAAAAAATTTGGCTCAGGACCTCAGGGGTCACAGATTGCGTTTGGCCGTCATGTCTCTTGATTCTTTGTTAATCTCAAACAGTCTTCCTCGTCTCCTTGTTTTCCACGATGTTGACCTCTGAAGGATCCAAGTTAGCAGTCTCTCGGAATATCCTTCACTTGGGCTTGTTTGAATGATTTCTTACAATTAGACTCAGGTTAGGCCTTTTTTGTAAGAATACCACATAATTCAGGAATAATACATAACACATTTTCCTGCTGGTTACATTTCTTTAATCATGTGAGGTTGCTTTACCCCTATTGGTGATGCTGCTTTTAAGTATAATTGGTTAAAACGGTGTCTGTGAGGGCCAGTGCTGCGGTATAGGGGGTTAGGCCACCGCCTGGGCCGCCAGCATCCCATATGGGTGCCAGTTCAAGACCTGACTGCTCCACTCCCAATCCAGCTCCCTGCTAGTGCGCCTGGGAAAGCAGTAGAGGACAGCCCTGGTGCTTGGGCCCCTGCACTCACTGGGGAGACTTGGAAGAGGCTCTGGGCTCCTGGCTTCGGCTTGGTACAGTCCCAGCCATTGTGGCCATTTAGGGGAGTGAACTAGCAGACTGAAGATGTCTTTCTCTCTCTCTCCTGCCTATTTCTCTCCTTTCTCTTTATAACTCTGCCTTTCAAATAAATATAAAAATTTAAAATAAAATAAAATGGCATCCATGAGATCCCTCCACTACCGGGGAATCTTCTCCTTGGAGTCAGAGGAATTGCTTAGGTGGGAAGTAGAGACCACGTGACCCCCCCCCCCCCCAGTCTATCAACCCTGGCTTTAGAATCAAATGATAAAAGTTGTTGCCTAAATTATTTATCTCATTGTGTCCATAAAATCATGTCATTCTGCCTACATTTTTTAAAGGATTTATTTATTTATTTGAAAGGCAGAGTTACAGAGAGGCAGAGGCAGAGAGAGAGAGAGAGGTCTTCCATCCACTGGTTTACTTCCCAAATGGCCGCAACAGCTGGAGCTGGGCAGATCTGAAGTCAGGAGCCAGGAGCTTCTTCTGGATCTGTCACATGGGTGCAGGGACCCAAGCACTTGGCCATCTTCTACTGCTTTCCCAGGCCACAGCAGAGAGCTGGGTCAGAAACGGAGCAGCCGGGGCTCGAACCAGCATCCATATTGGATGCTGGCGCCACAGGCAGCAGCCTTACTCACTATGCCACAGCGCCGGCCCCCCTTGAATATGATCAGCTCTTCTTCAGTGAAGAGGAATTTTCCCCGTCTCCTTCTTTGGTAAAACTATAGATTCATCTTTTTTTCAATTCAGCATATTATAAATCATTATTCTTCTTTGTAAAGTTTATTCATTTTTACTTATTCGAAAGGCAGAGCAGTGGGGGATGGGTAAGGGTGGAAACTTGGAGAAGGAGATCTTGTATCTGTTGGTTCACTCCCCAGATACCTGGCCAAATCCAGGATCCAGGTCTCCCATGTGGGTGGCAGGGGCCCAAGTACTGCTGCCTTCCAGGGCGCATTAGCAGTAAGCTGGACCAGAAGCAGAGGCGAGACTCCCACCCAGGCACTCCCTGGGGGATGTCCTAAGTGGCGGCTTCAATGCTGGGCTGTGAGGCCCGCCCACAGTAGTCTTTCTGATGCTCATATCTTCCTGTATCTGACCAAGGAGAGCCCCTTGGAGCTGGCCCCGGGTCCTTGTCACCCTCCTGTCCATCTCTGAGCGTCTGGCCGCTTTCCAGTGCAGCGTGATGTTCCCGATGCGCGTTGCACGTTCGTCCCAAACATGGCAGCAGCTGTTTGTGCAAAGGCCCCCGTTTCCTTCAGTGGGGAAGTGTCTGGGAACCGGGATCTGGGCTGGGTGCGCTCACTACTGCTAGGCTTTTCATGCTTCCAAGTCTTTTCAATGAACAGAGAATTATAAAAAGTGTTTTTAGGACTTCAGCTTCTGATCCTGTCAGAGCCCTCCACTGTAAACACCTGTTAAACTGGGTACGCTAGGTAGAGCGACTGTGACTAGGCTTTCAGCACCAGGCAGGAGAGGGAGGGGAGCGGGATGTGACCGCAGAGGAGCGGCCCTGCAGAGCTCAGAGCCAGGACTGCTGCAGGTGCGGGAGAAGTGGGGACTGTGCCGACGGGCACGCCCAGAGGGCTGGGGGTGGGTTCTCTGTGAATCCCATGCAGGGTGAGGCTTCGTGATGGGGGTGGGAGTGGATTGGAGATACTGACGGTGCTGGGAGTGTTTGAGTTCTGGCTTAATTACAGGAGAAACATTTCATGAATGGGGCTGGCATTGTGGCAGTCTCCGCCTGCGATGGCGGAATCCCATATGGGCACCGGATTATGTCCTGGCTGCTCCACTTCCAATCCAGCTATGCACATGGGAGACCTGGAAGAAGCTCCTGGGTTTAGCCTGACCAAACCCTGGCCGTTGTGGCCATCTGGGGAGTGAACAAGTGGATGGAAGATTTTCTCTATTTGTCTCTCCCTTTCTCTCTGTACTCTGCCTTTCAAATAAATAAATATTAAAAAGAAAGGATACTTCATCACTATTGCAAGCATTGAGCTGAGACAAAAAGAGGGGTGGTGCCTTAGGAATAAGGACCAGCACCTAGATCAGAGTAGGCAGACTCCAGTCTACTCGGTACTAGAGCAGGAGTAGGCAGACTCCAGTCTACCCAGTACTAGAGCAGAGTAGGGAGACTCCAGTCTACCCAGTACTAGAGCAGGAGTAGGCAGACTCCAGTCTACCCAGTACTAGAGCAGAGTAGGCAGACTGCAGTCTACCCAGTACTAGAGCAGAGTAGGGAGACTGCAGTCTACCCAGTACTAGAGCAGAGTAGGGAGACTGCAGTCTACCCAGTACTAGAGCAGGAGTAGGGAGACTCCAGTCTACCCAGCACTAGAGCAGAGTAGGCAGACTCCAGTCTACCCAGTACTAGAGCAGAGTAGCAGACTCCAGTCTACCCAGTACTAGAGCAGAGTAGGCAGACTCCAGTCTACCCAGCACTAGAGCAGGAGTAGGCAGACTCCAGTCTACCCAGTACTAGAGCAGGAGTAGGCAGACTGCAGTCTACCCAGTACTAGAGCAGAGTAGGCAGACTCCAGTCTACCCAGTACTAGAGCAGAGTAGCAGACTCCAGTCTACCCAGTACTAGAGCAGAGTAGGCAGACTCCAGTCTACCCAGCACTAGAGTAGGAGTAGGCAGACTGCAGTCTACCCAGTACTAGAGCAGGAGTAGGCAGACTGCAGTCTACCCAGTACTAGAGCAGAGTAGGTAGACTCCAGTCTACCCAGTACTAGAGCAGAGTAGGGAGACTGCAGTCTACCCAGTACTAGAGCAGAGTAGGCAGAATCCAGTCTACCCAGTACTAGAGCAGAGTAGACAGACTCCAGTCTACCCAGTACTAGAGCAGAGTAGGGAGACTGCAGTCTACCCAGTACTAGAGCAGAGTAGACAGACTCCAGTCTACCCAGTACTAGAGCAGAGTAGGGAGACTGCAGTCTACCCAGCACTAGAGCAGAGTAGGCAGACTCCAGTCTACCCAGTACTAGAGCACAGTAGGGAGACTGCAGTCTACCCAGTACTAGAGCAGAGTAGCAGACTGCAGTCTACCCAGTACTAGAGCAGAGTAGGCAGACTCCAGTCTACCCAGAGCTAGAGCACAGTAGGCAGACTGCAGTCTACCCAGTACTAGAGCAGAGTAGCAGACTCCAGTCTACCCAGTACTAGAGCAGGAGTAGGCAGACTCCAGTCTACCCAGAGCCAGAGCAGGAGTAGGGAGACTGCAGTCTACCCAGTACTAGAGCAGAGTAGCAGACTCCAGTCTACCCAGTACTAGAGCAGAGTAGCAGACTGCAGTCTACCCAGTACTAGAGCAGAGTAGCAGACTGCAGTCTACCCAGTACTAGAGCAGAGTAGCAGACTGCAGTCTACCCAGTACTAGAGCAGAGTAGCAGACTGCAGTCTACCCGGGTGTTGTCTCCGTTGTTGAGATGCAGTGGTAGAGAAAGTGAGCTCCCATCTGCTGGTCATTCCCCAGATGCCTGCCGTGGACAGGGCTGGACCGGACCAAACGTGGGAGCCAAGGACACAATCCAGGTCTCCCACGTGAGTGGCAGGAGCCCAGTCGGTGCTGCTGCTTCCCAGGGTCTGCACAGACAGGAAGCTGGAGTGAGGAGCTGGAGATGGGTGCTCTGGTGTGGATGTGGCTGTCTTAACTGCTAGGCTGACCTCACGCTGCTTTGTGAACAAGTTTGTGTTTGTGTATTTGAGAGACAGGACCAGGCTACCCAAGTCCTGTCTACTATGTGCTGAAAATAGCCGTGCATGTTTGTCTACTTGTTACCTATTGTTGATTTTTAAAAAGGTTACGTTTATGTGACAGGAAGAAAGGGAGATGGCCTGGAATGGAGGAGAAGCAGGTTAAGCTGCTGCCTGTTACGCCGCATCTCACAGGGGCACTGCTTCGTGTCCCAGCTGCTCCACCTCTGATCTGGCTCCCTGCTGATGGCCTGGGAAGAGCAGCAGAGGGTGGCCCACGTGTTTGGGCCCCTGCCACCCACGTGGGAGACCCAGATGAAGTTCCTGGCTCCTAGCTGCTGCCATCTGGGGAGTGAACCAGTGCGTGGATGTTCTCTGTCTCTCCTTCTCTCTGTGTGCAACTCTTTCAAATAAATAAATAATCTTAAAAAAAGAAAGAAAGAGGAAGAGAGATAGAGGAAGATATCTTCCATCTGCTGGTTCACTCCCCAAATGCCTACAACAGCTAGGCTGGGCCAGGCTGAGGCCAGGAGTCAGGAGCGCCATCCAGGTTTCCCACAAGTGCCAGGCAAGTCCTTGGGCTTTCATCTGCTGCTTGCCCGGCACATTAGCAGGAAGCTTGATTGGAAGCACAAGCAGCCAGGGCTTGAACCATGTACTCCAACGTGGAATGCAGGTGTGGCTTCACCCACGGTGTCACAAGGCCAACCCCACGACACTGCAGTGGCAAATACAAGTCCTTGTGACAGAGGCTGCAGAGACCAGAAAGCGGGGAGTATTTCCTATCCAGGTTTGATGGGGGTCAGCTCTTTGCTCACCCCCTCTGAGAAGTAAGGGCTACTCTAAAGGATCAGGGAGAATTTATGAGAATGAGCTGCCTGCCACAGTGTACTCCAGACTCCTTAAAGGGACACAGTCTTGAGACTGTCGTCACCGCACAGTGAGTTAAGCTGCCACTTGACATCGCTGGCATCCCACGTTGGAGTGCTGGTTCAGACTCAGCTGGTCCGCTTCTGTCCAGTTCCCTGCTAATGGCACTGGGAAGGCAGTGGATTATAGCCCAAGTACTTGGGCCCTGCCACCCAAGTTCCTGGCTCCTGGCTTTGGCCTGGCCCCAACCCTCGCTGTACTATTTGGGGAGTGAACCAGCAGGTAGATTTCTGTCTCTTCCTCTCTCTGTTTGCTCAACATTCCAAATAAGTCAATCTTCAAAAAAACCTCAGTATTATCCAAACAAGTTTAGCATATGATAAAAAATTACTAGTAATTCAAGGAAAAAGAAAAATATAGCCTATAATTTAAAAAAGTTATCAGTAGAAACTCACCCTGGGGCCGGCGCTGTGGCTCACTTGGTTAATCCTCTGCCTGCAGTGCCGGCATCCCATATGGGTGCCAGTTTGAGTCCTGGCTGCTCCTCTTCCAGTCCAGCTCTCTGCTGTGGCCCAGGAGGGCAGTGGAGGATGGCCCAAGTGCGTTGGCCCTGCACCCGCATGGGAGACCAGGAGGAAGCACCTGGCTCCTGGCTTCAAATCGGCGCAGCACCAGCCATAGTGGCCATTTGGGGGGTGAACCAATGGAAGGAAGACCTTTCTCTCTGTCTCTCCCTCTCACTGTCTATAACTACCTGTCAAATAAATTAAAAAAAAAAAACATACCTTGAAATGATCCAGATATTGAAAGTAGTAGAAAGGGCTTTAAAGCAGCTATTATAAATATGATTAAGTGATTAAAGGAGAATATAGTAGCCTTAATGAGAAATCTCAGCAGAGAAATTGAAAATATAAAAAAGAACCAAAGATAAATTCTAGAATTGCAAAGGGCAGTTCTAAAATGGGAAGTTCATTGGATGGGCTTAACAGAAGACTGGGGAAGAAGGCTTGGCAGAAAAAGGGGCTTTGAACTAAAGACAGGTCCTGAGAAGTGATCCCAGCCAAGATACAGCATAAAAACATTGAAGAGAGACTAACCGAGCCTCGGTGACCTGAGGGTACCACCGAGTGTCTGGAAGGGGACAGACGAAAACACTTGAAGAGGTAATGGCCCCCAAAATTCTGAAACGTGATGAGAAATACTCACTCACAGATTCAAATCCAAACATGATGCGCAAAAGAAAGTCATACATGGACCAGGCACGTCGTAGCCAAACTGCTGAAAACCAGAGAAGGAGATATTTTGAAAATAAGCAGAAGGAGAAATCAGAGCATGGGGAGTGCTGGGCTCACACCCTCAGAGCATGGGGAGTGCTGGGCTCACACCCTCAGAGCATGGGGAGTGCTGGGCTCACACCCTCAGAGCAAGGGGAGTGCTGGGCTCACACCCTCAGAGCAGGGGGAGTGCCGGGCTCACACCCTCAGAGCAAGGGGAGTGCTGGGCTCACACCTTCAGAGCAGGGGGAGTGCTGGGTTCATACCCTCAGAGCAGGGGGAGTGCTGGGCTCACACCTTCAGAGCATGGGGAGTGCTGGGTTCACACCTTCAGAGCATTGGGAGTGCTGGATTCACACCCTCAGAGCATGGGGAGTGCTGGATTCACACCCTCAGAGCAGGGGGAGTGCTGGGCTCACACCCTCAGAGCAGGGGGAGTGCTGGGTTCATACCCTCAGAGCATGGGGAGTGCTGGGTTCACACCCTCAGAGCAGGGGAGTGCTGGGCTCACACCTTCAGAGCATGGGGAGTGCTGGGTTCACACCTTCAGAGCATTGGGAGTGCTGGATTCACACCCTCAGAGCATGGGGAGTGCTGGATTCACACCCTCAGAGCAGGGGGAGTGCTGGGCTCACACCCTCAGAGCAGGGGGAGTGCTGGGTTCATACCCTCAGAGCATGGGGAGTGCTGGGTTCATACCCTCAGAGCAGGGGGAGTGCTGGGCTCACACCTTCAGAGCATGGGGAGTGCTGGGTTCACACCTTCAGAGCATTGGGAGTGCTGGATTCACACCCTCAGAGCATGGGGAGTGCTGGATTCACACCCTCAGAGCAGGGGGAGTGCTGGGCTCACACCCTCAGAGCAGGGGGAGTGCTGGGTTCACACCTTCAGAGCATTGGGAGTGCTGGATTCACACCCTCAGAGCATGGGGAGTGCTGGATTCACACCCTCAGAGCAGGGGGAGTGCTGGGCTCACACCCTCAGAGCAGGGGGAGTGCTGGGCTCACACCTTCAGAGCAGGGGGAGTGCTGGGCTCACACCTTCAGAGCAGGGGGAGTGCTGGGCTCACACCAACAGAGCAGGGGGAGTGCAGGGTTCACACCCTCAGAGCATGGGGAGTGCTGGGCTCACACCTTCAGAGCAGGGGGAGTGCTGGGTTCACACCCTCAGAGCATGGGGAGTGCTGGGTTCACACCTTCAGAGCTTGGGGAGTGCTGGGTTCACACCTTCAGAGCAGGGGGAGTGCTGAGTTCACACCTTCAGAGCTTGGGGAGTGCTGGGTTCACACCTTCAGAGCATGGGGAGTGCTGGGTTCACACCCTCAGAGCGTGGGGAATGCTGGGCTCACACCTTCAGAGCAGGGGGAGTGCTGGGTTCACACCCTCAGAGCATGGGGAGTGCTGGGCTCACACCTTCAGAGCAGGGGGAGTGCTGGGTTCACACCCTCAGAGCAGGGGGAGTGCTGGGCTCACACCTTCAGAGCATGGGGAGTGCTGGGTTCACACCCTCAGAGCATGGGGAGTGCTGGGCTCACACCTTCAGAGCAGGGGGAGTGTTGGGTTCACACCCTCAGAGCAGGGGGAGTGCCGGGTTCACACCTTCAGAGCGTAGGGAGTGCTGGGTTCACACCTTCAGAGCGTGGGAGGATGCTGGACTCACACCTTTCACCTGCTACAAGAAGAGGAGTGTCACTCTGGAATTCTGTATTCCGTGAAAAATCTCCTTCAAAATGAGTGAGAAATAAAGAGCTTTTCAGAAAAGTAAGTGGTGAGTTGAGTTGTCGTGAGCAGAGCTGCACTCAGAAATACTAAAGAAGGTATCTACGGGCAGAAAGGCAATTTGGAAATTGGATCCATGGAGACTATGAAGAGCCACGGAAGCCACCGTTTCTGGGCACCTAGGAAAGAGGAGGTTTCCCTCTCTTTATTCTTGTAGAAGACAAAGGACTGTTTTGTTTTGTTTTAAGATATATTTATTTATTTGAGATGCAGAGTTACAGCAGAAAGAGGTCGTCCATCCACTGGTTCACTCCCCAAATGGCTGCAATGGCTAGAGTTGAGCCGATCCGAAGCCAGGAGCCAGGAGCTTCTTCCGGGTCTCCCACTTGGTGCAGAGACCAAAGGACCTTAGCCATCTTCCACTGCTTTTCCAGGCCATAACAGGGAGCTGGATCAGAAGTAGAGCAGCTGGGACTTGAACCTGAGCCCATATGAGATGCTGGCACTGCAGGTGGTGGTTTTACCCTCCATGCCACAATGCCGGCCCCTAGGCTCCTGGTTTTGACCTGGCTCATAAAAATGTTGGTGGCCGGGCTGGCGCCTCGGCTCACTAGGCTAATCCTCTGCCTAGCGGCACCGGCATACCGGATTCTAGTCCCGGTTGGGGCGCCGGATTCTGTCCCGGTTGCCCCTCTTCCAGGCCAGCTCTCTGCTGTGGCCCGGGAGTGCAGTGGAGGATGGCCCAGGTGCTTGGGCCCTGCACCCCATGGGAGACCAGGAAAAGCACCTGGCTCCTGGCTCCTGCCATTGGATCAGCGCTGTGCGCCGGCCGCAGCGCGCCGGCCGCGGTGGCCACTGGAGTGTGAACCAACGGCAAGGGAAGACCTTTCTCTCTGTCTCTCTCTCTCACTGTCCACTCTGCCTGTCAAAAAAAAAAAAAAAAAAAAAAAAAGTTGGTGGCCATTGTGGCCATTTGGGGAAGGAACCAGCAAATGGAAGAGATCTCTTCTCTCTCCCTCTACTCTCTCCCCCCCTCCCCCCTTTCCTTCCTTCCTTCCTTCCTTCCTTCCTTCCTTCCTTCCTTCCTTCCTTCCTTCCTTCCTTCCTTCTTTCCTTCCTTCCTTCCAACAGAGTTAGAGAGAGAGAGAGAAAGGTCTTCCTTTTTCCATTGGTTCACCCTCCCAAATGGCCGCTACAGCCAGGCCAGTGCGCTATGCAGATCCGAAGCCAGGAGCCAAGTGCTTCTCCTGGTCTCCCATGGGGTGCAGGGACCCAAGCACTTGGGCCATCCTCCACTGCCTTCCTGGGCCACAGCACAGAGCTGGACTGGAAGAGGGGCAACCGGGACAGAATCCGGTGCCCCAACCGGGACTAGGAACCCGGTGTGCCGGCACCACAGGTGGAGGATTAGCCAAGTGAGCTGCAACGCCAGCCCCCTCCCCTCTTTCTCTCCCCCTCTCCCCCTTTCTCCCTCTCTCCTCCTTTCCCCCTTTCTCCCTCTCCCCCTTTCTCTCTCCCTCTCCCCCTCTCCCTCTCCCCCCTCCCGCTTTCTCCCTCCCTCCCCCCTTTCTCCCTCTCCCTCTCTCCCTCTCCCCCTTTCTCCCTCTCCCTCTCTCCCTTTCTCCCCCTCCCCTCTTTCTCTCCCCCTCTCCCCCCTCCTGCTTTCTCCCTCTCTCCCTCTCCCCCTTTCTCTCTCTCTCCTTCTCCCCCCTCTCCCCCTCTCCCCCTCTCCCCCCTTCTCTCTCTCTCCTTCCCTCCCTTCCTCCCACTCTCTCCCTCTCACCCTCCCTCTCCTCTTCCTCTGCCTTTAGTTACTCTGCCTTTCACATAAGTAAATAAAAGAAAAAGAACAAGTTCAATCCAAGGAAGGAGATAATGAAAAACAGAAGTTAATGAAATGGAAAATGTGAAAATAATGGAGAAACAGCATGGCCAAAAGTTTGTTCTTTGAAAAAAATTAATAAAATTGATCAATCCTCAGCAAGGCTGAAAAACACAAACTACCATTTACCAGGCATTAAACAGTGGATACCGCCATAGATTGTAGACAGTAGAATGATAAGGAGGAAGGGGCGGGCATTGTGGCACAACAGGTTAGGCAGCCATTCAGCACTTCCTCATCCCATATCAGAGTGCTGGCTTAAGTCCCGGCTATGCCTTCCATACAGCCGCCTGGTAACGCACCTGGGAGGCAACAGACGATGGCCCAAGTAGTTGGCCCTCTGCCACCATGTGGGAGGACTCGGCCAGGGTCCTGGCTTCAGCCTGGCCTGACCCTGGCTGTTGTAGCCAGCTGGGGAGTGAACCAGCGGATAGAAGATCTCTCTCTTCACCTCCTCGTCGTCCCCTCACCTGCTGCTCTGCCTTTCAAATAAATAAATAAGCGAGTCTTTTAAAAATAAATAAAATGATAAGAAGGAATATTATGAACAACCTTTAGGCAATAAATATGAACACCTGGATGAAGTGAGCAGAAAAGAGGCTTTTTTAAAATTCAGTAGGCAGACAGAGCGAGCTTCCGAATGCTTGTTCACTCCCAAATGCCCGCCATGGCCACCGACGTTTTGATGGGTTATTTCCTGCAGATTGGAGGCGGCTCACTGTTGGCCCCCTCATTCCCGCCTTTGTTGCCCTAGTTCTTCTTGCCCATACCTCAAACCAGTGGGCCCCCGCCGTACAACAGCGTGAATGAATGTCACAGACACTGTTAACTGTTGCATTCGCTGAAAAAGCCACATATGTGGCGTGCGGTTCACCTGGAGCTCTAGGACCAGCAGCACAAATCTTTGGTTGTAGACCCCAGTCCCCCTAGGCCGAGGGGAAGGAGATTAGGTGCAGAGGGAGAGGGGGCTTTCTGGCTGATGGGAGGTTCTAGGTCATGATGGGGTTGGTGGTTACTCCGGTGTACATATTTATCAAAACTGTATGCATAAATGTCTGTAATTATGCTGTAGACAAGTTGCACTTCGGTAAAGTTGCTTTTTAAAAAATCTGCGAGTGGGAGCCAGTGCTGTAGTGCAGTGGGTTCAGCTGCTGCCTGCAGTGCCAGCATCCCATAGGAGCTGACTCGAGTCCAGCTGCCCCACTTCTGACCCAGCTCCCTGCGAACGTGCCTGGAAAAAGCAGCAGAGGATGGCCCACGTGCTCCCACTCACCTGGGAGACCTGGATGAAGCTCCTGGCTCTGGCTTCAGTCTGGCCCAGTCTTGGCCATTGGAGCCATTTGGGAAGTGAACCAGCAGAGGGAAGACTTTTCTCTCTCTGCCTCTGCCTCACCTGTCTGTAACTCTGCCTTTCAAATAAATAAATAAATATTTTTTAAAAAATCTGAACACGATGTCTCCAATCCAGATCCAGCACTGGAGATTCTTCCTCACCTTCCCTATTCCATATTTTATCTCCCTGTTTGCACAGTGCAGTCCTCTGTTCCCAATATCTCTGTATTCATCTTTTCAGTCCTTAATACAAAAGCAGAAAAACAGTTTTTAGAATTACTGTACCAGTGCCATTTTTTAAAATTTATTTATTTATTAGAGAGGCAGATGCAGAGAGAGAGGTCTTCCATCCAGTGGTTCACTCCCAGATGGCTGCATCAGCCGGAGCTGCACCAGTCTGAAGCCTGAAGCCAGGAGCCTCCTCCGGGTCTCTCACACAGGTGCAGGGGCCCAAGAACTTGGGCCATCTTCTGCTGCTTTCCCAAGCCATAGCAGAGAGCTGGATCAGCCAGGACTCAAACTGGTGCCCATATGGGATGCCGGCACTGCAGATGACAGCTTTTCCCGCTATGCCACAGCACCGGCCCCCCAATACCATTATTTTTTTTAAGATTTACTTTGTTTATCTAAAAGAGTTACAGAGGGAGGTAGAGACAGAGAGAGAGGTCTTCCATCCGCTGGTTCACTCCCCAGATGGCTGCGATGGCTGGAGCTGCACCAATTTGAAACCAGGAGCCAGGAGCTTCTTCCAGGTCTCCCACATGGGTGCAGGGGCCCAAGGACTTGGGCCATCTTATACTGCCATCCCAGGCCATAGCAGAGAGCTGGATTAGAAGAGGAACAGCCGAGACTAGAACTGTCGCCCATATGGGATGCCAGCACCTCAGGCCAGGGCTTTAACCCACTACACCACAGCACTGGCCCCAACCCCCAAATCCCATTATTAACAACAAACCTACTAAGTTCAAGATTGTTTTTTGTTCTTTTATTTATAGGAAGCCCATGGACTATGTTCAAAATTATTTGAATTCCTATAGGCTTTATTCTGTGGTTATTTTATCAACTTTCTAAAAAAGATTTAGTTATTTATTTGAAAGAGAGCATAATAGAAAGTTGATCTTCCAGCTACTGGTTCATTCTTCAAATGACTGCAATGGCCAAGGCTGGTGCAGGCCAAACCAGGAGCCTGGAACTCCCTTTGGGTCTTCGTGGGTGGCAGGGGCTGAGCACTTGGGCACCCTCTGCTGCCTTCCCAAGTGCAGCAGGAGGGAGCTGGGTCAGGAGTGGAGCAGCCAAGCCTCAAGCCAGTGCTCCAGCAGGAGACGCCGGTGTTGCAGGAGGCAGCCTGGCTCACTGCTCCACAGCGCCAGCCTGTGTTGTCCACTTCATGTACAATAAGCTTCATTTTTTGTATTCAATTTTAGGGTTAAAAATCTCTTACTGTAACACCTTTAAATATATAAAATATTTCTATGGTTCAAGGACTGGAATGAGACAAAAATAGAGAAGCCCCACTCCGTCCTCATCCACCCCGTCCTCACCTCCCTTGGCAGTAACTGTGTTGTCCACTTCTAGTTTGCCCTTCATGTCTTTAAATGCATGCTTCATTATTTTTTATTTCTATAAAGGGAATAAATTTCATGTATTTCATATATATAGTTCTTTACTATTTTTTAAAAGACTTATTTGTTTGAAAGGCAGAGTGGCAGAGAAAGAGGGGGGGAGGGAGAAAGGGAGAGAGAGAGAAAGAGAGAGAGATCTTCCATCCACTGTCCCATTAATACCCAGTGCTCACAGCAGTGGGGTCTAGGAAGGCCTGAGCCAGGAGCCAGGGGCTGCACCTGGGTCTCCCACATGGGTGGCAGGGGCCGGAGTAGTTGAGCCATCATCCGCTGCCTCCCACACACTGGCAGGAACTGGACAGGAAGTGGAGTGGTCGGGGCTCGCACACAAGCTCCCCGATACGGGGTAAATGTGCCAAGCTGCAGCCTGACTCCTGCTGAGCCGCAAGCCCGGCCAGGCAATGCCCTGCTTCCCCTTCCTTACGCAGCTGTGGTGCGGTGCGCGCTTAAGTTTTGTTCTGGAAGGCACCCCACACCAACTAGTGGAAATAGTCCTCATTTTCTTTCTGTGGTTACACCGTATTCCGTTAGGTGAGCTTATTTAATCCGTCTCCTGTAGACGGAGCTGTTTCCGGTAGTCTGCTGGTGTAAACAGTCCACAGTGAATAAGCCTGTGCGTCGTGGTGTCTTCTTTTCCCCCACTGTATTTGACAGGCTCGGAGACAGGGAAGGATCTTCCACCTATGGGTTCACTCTCAAATGCCCACGGCAGCCCGGAGTAGGTCAGGCTGAGGCCAGGAGCCCAGAACTCGGCCCAGGGCTCCCACACCGTGGCGGGGACCCGCGCACTTGAGCGACTGCTTCCTCCCAGGGTGCGCGTTCTCAGAAGCCGGCTGGGAAGTGGAGGAGCCGGGACTCAAACCAGGCACTCAGACACGGGAGCAGGCTCCCCGAGTGGCATCTTAACTGCAGCACCAAGTACCCCGTATGTTTCTGTTTGCCGAACTGAGTCTTAGGGGTGAGCTGCTGGAAGTGAGGCGGTGGGGCACAGAGCAAGTCTGTCCTCTCACTGATCGGGGCCCCTAGCCTTGCCAGCACCAGCCGAGTCTTGCGCCTGCCAGTCCTGTTTCCAGTGCGGTTGGGCATCTTTCCGTAAATTTAAGTGTAGACGGAAAGCTCTTTAGGGGTTGGGACGCAAGCCGTGAATTCGTTCCATAAATCACCCACATTAGCAGGTGCCCCGCATGCACTCGTTGGGGGAGTACACGGATGAGCTGGCTGGCCTAACACTGGACTCCTCTTGTTTGGACTCCCGTGACGTCTGTTGTTTACCCTTGTCCGAGGGAGGGCGGTGCCAGGTGCCTGGCTGAGATCTGGTAAAAGAGGAGACGGGCCTTCCAGAGGGGCTGCATCCTGCATCTTCCCTCTGCCAGGACACCGCCAGAGACGGGCCAATGACCCTTTCCTCCTGGTGGAATGCAGTCAGAGAGGCACAGCTCACGAGTCCAGAGGTGGCCACAGGTCCAGTTGCCTGCCACAGCGGACCTTCGCCCCAGTGGGATTGTTTCCACTACTTTAAAAAAAGATTTCTCTATTTATTTATTTGAAAGGCAGAATGACAGAGGGAGAGACAGATGTATATATTCCATCCACTGGCTCACTCCCCAAATGCTGACAGCAGCCAGGGCTGGGCCAGGCTGAAGCCAGGAGCCCAGAGCTCCGTCCAGGTCCCTCAGGTGGACGGCAGGTGCCCAGG